CAATAATAAAATTTTATTAAGTCATTAATAAAAATGACTTCGCCGATAATAAAATCCTACTGGATGGGAAACTCCAAAGAATATGGCCTTGATAACCCCCATCCTAAAGAACCATTCGATTGAAGAAATGACCKTTATTTTGAAGGAACTCCGTTAAAAAATTGTGCGCAATCGCGCGAAAACTGAAAATTCTTCATTCGGGCCCTCTCCTGGTACATCATGTACGAGCAAAAGTTCATAACTTCAAATTGAAGTTTAAAACTTCCTATCAATACTTTTTGCTCTCTGGCGGAGTCCGGTTTCAATTGTTATGAAACTCGTAGTATTTTGTTTGCGATTATCAATCTTTTTCACAATGAAAGTTATTCAATTCTGTCGACTGGTCCGAAGTGGACATTTAGGGAACGTACGGCATAAAGAGTACAGACTGGGTTGATACAWCACACCCACACAAATCAAATTCTAGCGAGACAACATTCTGTTATTCTTTCTTCATCATTTTTTGCGTAGCTATAATTTTCAAGCATCTACTGAGAGACAATAATGGCGTCCTTCTGTTGAACTTTTTTCCTAGTCTATCGCTATGGACTGCCCACTCCTGCAGCATTGGGATCAATCACAAGGACTAGGAGTAATTATGAGTATCCCATCAATTGCACACCCACGGTTCTATCTCGAGGTCCATCCAAATCCAAGAGCAAGACGCTTTGCCACTGTCCCAAAACCATCTTCCCATCTACAACTGGTATAGACTCGCTAGCCGACCCCGCCAATATGCTCAGCAGGTGAGAGTGTGCGTTGATTGGTTCCTGGTCTCTCCATGCTTGCAGTTGATCTGGATCGTCAACGTCCCACCCGTTTTCTCGGCACCGATTGGCTTCTTCGCTATCAATATTGTAGCTTTCTTCGTCGCTGCAGTCCCCAAAGGGACGAAGATCGATATCGTTGTGTTTGTAGGTTACGTCTTTCTGGGACGCYGGAGAGATGCTCCGCTCGTCGGGGGGAACCAATTTCAACAAGGTCTCTGAGATGTCGTCTGCTAGTCGTGATTCCCACTCATTGATGGTGAGGCTCGTGGTCGTATGGCGACTGATTACAGTCAACAGTCCGTTCATCATTCCCGATTCTTCCAGCAACGCTTGGAGCGTTGGGGTTAGATCTTCGACAGATATTGCTTGGCGCGGCACCGGATTTGTTTCGCTTGACGGAACATCCACTTGGTGGTACACACATATAGGTGCGCCGAGATCCGAGTTCGACGAGGGTGACGCCATATTGAGCGGTATTGTCATCCTAGCATCTCCTGTTGGCGTTGGCGTCGCAGCCACCCAACGACTTCTTGTATTTGGTRATTTCTCATTGTCGTTGCTGATATCATTTYGAACACTTGCAGCATTCGTATTCGGCATTGGTGAAAACGACGATGCAAAAAACCTRCTGGTGCCTGTCGCTGCKAATGCGAACATTGCAATCGAGSCAATCCATACTTTTATCGGCAATGGCGTGGTRCATGCAGAATCAACGCCGGACTGTAGAATCCGTYGTGGTCGATGCCGGAGGTTGCGACAGCGACCACGATGTGTTTCTTTCATTTTTGACGGAATCAYAATGAATGTACCTGTGCGCGTATCAATGGACGCTGAATCGTATTTCTATGTTGACTCGAATGGATCGGATAGTATGGTTTTCTAAGAAGGTTATCGAGGTTTACAAGGCTGTGGTCACAATACCAACGACATCGTCATGTTCTCTTGATCGGATTGAAAGTAGGACCGTTCTGTTTTGAACAWSGGAAGGAAAAACAAAAGAATCTCGAATCATGAATCAATCAACGAAACAACTCACTTCAATATCCCAGTCGTCCGTCCTCAGTCGTGCAATTTATATTCCACGTGGAACAACGATGCATCATCGTCAATATTTTTCTGGTTTTCATTTTTCTTGAGATCGATTCATTCGAAAATGAGAAATGGCGACGACGATAGTAGTATCGTACTGGAACAGGTACCAAACGACGATGTCGATCAAGGGACCGTGTGTTCATACGAGTATCATTGAAGAATTCATTATGTACATAGTACGCAATTCGCGGTCAACAATGGGAAACCAACTACCCAAAGGCCATAAAAATATGTTCTCGATTCATACCGTGTTTTCAATACTCTGTTTCCTTGGGTTGGTTTCCGATGTTGCCAGTCTGTCGGCAACTCCCAAGGTACAACCTCCGAGCAAAAACCCAGACGTGCTACGATCCTTCGTGTTCGGAAACGATGACGCTAGGTGCTGGGAGTTGTTGTCTCCATCGGAGCCGATCGAAGACGAGGAAGAGGATGAAGTGGAATATTGGTACCCTATCACGAGGCGGTATTTCGAATTTTCGATTCCACCGTCGCAATCGTCAGAAACRTTGGTCCAGAGCACTTCTACCACCATGATCCGACAAACGTCGTTCGGATGCGGGAAGCTGGGATACGAGTTGTGGGACAGCAGCATAGCGCTCTGTTTGCACCTCGGCCGGCAGCTGCCTCTGATCGAGGGAAAGAGGATACTCGAACTGGGATCCGGCTGCGGATTGCCGTCCGTCGTGTGCCGAGACCTGCTGCAAGCGGACGCCGTTCTGGCGACCGACTTTTGGCAAGAAGACGGCGACGGCTTCGACGGCGACMGGCTGGTCCCGACAAAGTTCCACGGGATGAACCTGGAGTACAACGTTGTGGCGGCACGTGGCAACAAACGCAGGGAAGCCGCCGTCCAGAGACTCGATTGGCACGACCGAGCCAGCGCCGTATCGGCGAGGGAATCCTTCCGACCCGACGTCGTCATAGGAAGCGATCTAATGTATTATCCGATGGACATCGAGCCGCTGCTGAACGTACTGGAAACCTTTCTGGTGGAAGACGGGGACAGAGACGGCGCCGATGGCAAACAAGCAACGGAAACCCGGGTCTTTCTGGTGTCGGCGCTGGCACCAGCCGAGCGAGAGGCTCTCCCAGAATTCCGGTCAAAACTGCCGGTGCGATTTTCTGCTACACACACGGTGACCATGAAAGAGATGGCCCTTGGTTGCGAAGAAACCGAAGGAGAGGACCACAAGTTTCTCCTGATCGACATCGTCCCAAAACAAAAAACGTCGTCATAGTTCGGCGTGCATTTGTCACCCACAACCCATGTCCGAATTTGCAAAAACACATTATATACTGCCACCAATATACTTATCACACCCAGGTTGCAGCAAAGAGACTCTTGAATACAGTTACATACTTTATAAGTGTACTACCGTAACACTAAAATGAATTCCGATAGAAATGTGTTCGATGTACCAGTAATACAATAATACAATGAACATTATCCCTAATAAGATTCAAAATTCGTTCTCAACATCAAAAATCTTTCTCGAAGCAGAAATTGAAAATCGTGACRAACACAGAAACTGAAACCACGGCACGAGTATTGTAAAGCGTGACAAAGGTATCAGAACAGAAGCACCGACACAAAGGTTGCCGAAAAGAAGAAGCGCATCTCCCATCTCCCATCCCCTGCKAAATATCGCTCACGGTTTCCCCGACAAAAGTACAGGGGAGGAGGGGTTGTTACAGTATTGTTGCGTCCTTGTGCCAACACCACCAGGTGGATCCGGTGAACAGCCAGGTTTCTGGCATTGCTTGAAWCCAATTGCAACTATTGCGGCTTGTCCGCTGTCGTCTCGGAAATGATTCGGTGCAAACCTCTCGGTTCCCGGAGGTCCCCCGCGAAACAAGCACCGGTGCAGAACACGTGCCTCCGAGTGCTGCTTGCGGTTTGTCTCGGGCTCGCGGCGTCAATTTGCACCGCGGACGCCTTGGCGGTTCCCGGACCACCGTCCCCCCCGCATCGCCAGCGACCACCGCCCGCGGTTCGATGCCGTTGCGGTCCGAGCAAYGGGCGAGACTGCCGCGTGGATGCGGCGAGTGCGGGGAAAGGGGACGGCAGCGAGGGAGATTTCTCCGCAAGGGACGACGCGGCGGGAGGAGGAAACCGGGGGAGSGGGGGATGGGTCTCCRTCGAGGTGCGGAGAGAGGTTTTCTTTCCCCCCGCTTTCGCGTCGGAGCACGAAGGYGATCCCCTCGCTGCGGCCTCGAGCTGTGTTCGAGAGGCATGGCTGGAGCACCACTGGAAAAGGGGGGGGGGGCTGCCCATACTCGTTTACGAGAAAAAACAAGGGCCCGGAACCGGAACCAGAACCAGCGGAAGCGAAACCAGCGAGGGCCTWCAGAGGGTGATTGCRCCCGTCATGATGGAAGAAACGATTTCCTCCCTTCCATCGCAGCCGATAGGGCAACCGGGAGACCCTGCCGCAACGCTCGATCTTGTGTACAAGGTGACCTCKCCGGGCCCGCTTTTTGGAAACGACCTGGTACCGGGATCGCACCTCGGAAGGGTCACCTTCTCTTCGGACTACTCGTCGCAAGKCAACAACACGGCAGGAGAAAAGGAGGCCCYCGAKGGCATCGGCAGCAGCAGCAGCAGGCCTAGTGGCATTGTCACCACCATGACCTGGAAGGTTGGATTCGAGACRACCCGGCTGTGGCAAGTCTACCAGAAKGTGACGGAATTCACCATCGGAACGGCTTCCCGAACGGTYGCGGAAGCGGCGGGGACCCCCCGGCTGCTCACCCTCCGGGCCGAGCTCTCGGTGCMAGAACCACCCGGATCCGGCGCAGGTTCACGATTCGACGCCGCAGAGGCCGCGAGACGGGAGTGGCTCGGCTTTTTGTTTTCCGCGGAGGGGGGAGGCTTGCCGCTCCCGCCGCCCCTGCCCCTCGGCGGAAGCCCACCGGGGGAAGCCGGGGCGGCRACGCGATCGATCCTGCGCTTCCCGCCGGGGCTGGTCGAGACCGCCACGCTGGGCGGGACGAGCCCTTCCGTCGCGCACTACCGACTGGAGAATCCCGGGTGGTGGACCTTCCCGTTCCTCGCCCATACCCACCTGGGCCGGGTCACCTTTCGTYCCCTGCCGGCCGCAGGCGACCKCGGGGAAGGCCRGGGGGCGGCGGCACCGAGGGTGGGAATGGTCTGGGAGGTCGAGATGCGGCCCTAYCCCTTCGCGGGACCGGTCGTGGAGGCCCTCACCGAAGCGACCATCTCCACCATCGCCAAGAACCTTTCGGTCCGTCTTTCCGAGCCGGGGGCCAGGGTTCCACTGCTGCTGCTGCCGCCGCCGCCGCGGGGGGCAAGAAGCGACACGCCCGGCCCCGGGTCGGTGTCCGGGGCGACCTGGATCGGTCGCGTCCTGGACGCCCGCCGTTCCGACCARAGGCCGGGCCCGGAACGAGCGCTCTCCCTGCTGCGGCCCTGGACCTGGGGCGAGAGGGAGCCGAGCACCAAAGGCGGGTGCGGGTGCGAATTCGAGTGGTCGGACCGGGCCATGGACGAGCCCCGGGGCCCCTAGTGGGGTGCTCTTTCCAGACCAAAACCACGAGGGGACGGGTTCGCCACGGTTCCGAGACGAGAGTGCCCGCGGCGGGCTTGTCGAATCGAATCGAGTCGAATCGGAAAGAAACAAGGTTTTGTGGTTGCTACTTCCTCTGTGATACGATTGCATTCGTACAGCACCGCAGGCAACCGTCGATGCACCTTTGGCTTCCGAGACGGGACTGCCCACGGTAGCTCTGTCAAACCAAACCAGTCGAATCGAATCGAATCGAATCGAATTGGATCGAGTCTTGTCGAACCAAACCAAACCAAATACTTCGCACAGTACGTCCTAAGAAACAAGGTTTTTCTTTTTTCCCTTCTCTATTTTATGATTGTACCGTATTCGTTCCGCACCGGTCGGCACTCAGCACTTTGACGCGTCGGCAAGGGCCTCCAGTCCCTCGGCCCGCTGGATCAGTTCTTTTCGCTTCGCCCTCATGGCCCCGGACCCCCTTGGGTCKACCGCGTCGAGCTTGCAGCACAGCCGCGTGACCATCTCGGCCACAAAGCCCGCCTTTTTGGTGGCGGCGCTGCCGCCGCGGATGCTTGCCTCCAGGGYWTYGATCTCCCCCTCGATCGCCTCCAGCGCCTCGCGGGCATCCTTCTCGGCCGCGTACAGACCCGAGTGCAGCAGCAGGAGCTTGGTCCGTCCTACGATCCCGGCCCCCGAGAGGCTCGTCCCTCCTYCCAGAGCGCAATGGTGCTGCTCGCTTTCCCCGTCCCGGTAGTCCAGGACCAGCCTCCGCGGCCCGACGAGTTTCWRGTACCGGGGGGCCACACCGGTGGCCTCGTGGATCCTGGCCCGGAGGTCGTCCACCGTGGTGGTGGAAGCGGGAAGGCCCTCCAGCGTCAGCTTGTGGCCGAGGCCGGCGACGCGGATCGTGACGGTGGCGGGCTCCATTGCCTCGGGCGGGTCGGTCGATCTCCGAGACGAAAACAAAGGGGGGGGTTCGCACCGAGTGTTTGGTGTGGAGGGTTTGCCCCGTGGTCCGATCGTCGGGTATTGGTACTACTCGTATGTGCTCGGGGCCTGTTCGAATGSGAACAGCAAGGAAAGATATTGATTTCGGGTTCGTAGGCTGCCGGTACCGTACTGTAGGTATGTATGTAGCGCAAGAGGCATTTTTGATAGGTACGACGAAACAGGAAAGAAAAGACAAAAGATCACGATCACACGACCAAGGATTCCAGCGTGTGCCATATTACGGTACGTACGTAATAGCCTCGCCTCAGGGTGAAAATGGACAGATGTGGTTTCCCGTACCTTTACGTACGTTGTAGCCGTACCTGTATATACCATGCCGCGTTCAGTTGTCCAAGCGGTGTCGTGCGACCGACTCACTTGACTCACGTAGGAAACACGGTCGGTCGGTCCGTCCGTCCATCCACCACCAACCAAATACCTCTTCTTACCTGCCTTACTAATATTCTCTCCTGCGCGTCCCGTAGATTCAAATACCTAGAGAACGCCGTAGACTCAGCGCAGACGAGACACTTCCTACTCTATTCGTCACAGCAGCAACAAGACGGCCCTCGTTCCTCCCTCCCAGCCTCTCTACTACATCTAACGGAATAAACAAACAGATAGCAACCATGGGTGGTAAGGATTTCGTAGTGTGTTGGATTGTAAACGGAGCGATATCGTAGTGGGGAAGAATACCATGCAACAACAACACAGCGACCATGGCGGAATGCCCCGCGGCCCGGATCCCGAAGCACCGCTGCCKAGGCACGAGAGTGCCTTTGGGTGGTGGACCGCGGATCGGTCCCGTCCTCGTCGTTGAGCGATGGACGGCRGGCACCGAWCGGCGGCCCGGGCTTCGGAAAGGCACCGTATCGCAACMCCTGTAGTGGAAAACGAGCACCGCGTCTCACCTTTTTTTTGTCTYGTCCCGTTTCGCWCCGTTCTCGAACCACAGTCAATCTTAGACTTCAGAAGCGTCTCGCGGCCTCCGTCTTGGGGTGCGGAAAGCGCAAGATYTGGTTGGATCCCAACGAGACCAACGAGATCGCCCTCGCCAACTCCCGCCGCAACATTGCCCGCCTGCAGCGTGACGGTCTCATCATCAAGAAGCCCAGCGTCGTGCACTCCCGTGCCCGCGTTCAGCTGAGAAACGAGGCCAAGAGAAAGGGACGACACACCGGTGAGTCTTTGGTTTGTGGCGTGCTCGGGAGCGCAGAAATCCGTTGGCARTTSGCAGTSGAGTCGAGTGGATCAATGGATGGATGGATGGACGAACCGCGACCCGGCGGAAGGAGGAACGCCCGCCCCCGGAAGGTTGGACCGGTGCGTCSTTCTAGCAATAGGAGGACGTATACCACTAGATTTGCGATGCGACACACCCCGGTGTGTATCCCTCATCCCTGGCTAGGTTCCAACGACATGGGGGGCTAGATTGTGTGGGTTGAAACACATCCATCCGGCCAGACAACCGGTAGTCCATATCCACGCACGGATCGAGCCTCCACTCGGACCGTGTACTTTTTGTCACGTGACAACATTTCTTGGTGTACGCATCCGYGCTCACCCCTTTCGTTCTTTGCCCGTTGTTTTCGTTTTGACCCAAAGGCATTGGTAAGCGCAGAGGTACTGCCAACGCCCGTCTCCCCTTCAAGGTCTTGTGGATGCGTCGCCAGAGAGTCCTCCGCCGCATGTTGCAAAAACTCAGAAACGCCGGAAAAATCGACAAGCACATCTACCACTCCTTGTACATGCTCGCAAAGGGTAACCAATTCAAGAACAAGTCCGTTCTCCTCGAAAAGATCCACGAACTCAAGGCCGTTGTTGTCCAAGAAAAGGCCCTCGCAGAACAAGCTACCGCACGAAAGACCCGTGCCAAGAACCGACTTGAGCGACGAGCGGCCAAGGAAGCCAAGAAGGCCGCCGATGCCGAAGCCGCATCAAACCTTTAAATAACTAGTATTGTATCATCAAACCAAATATAATACGAAAGAAATTTTACCCCTAATTGCTCCTTCATGAGCCTAGTTGTATGAATCATTCCATTGCCCGATATCTTTCGTTGGGTCTATGGTGTCTCTGAGAACATTGTATGGTGGACTGAGGGTCGCGAAATCTATCTCACGGTGCACTTGAACGACTCTTCGATGAATAATCCTCTTCCAGAGATGTACGACAAAGGTTCATTAGTGGTGATCAAACTCTTGATCAAGAGTKGAAASGTCTTTCTACGGTGTGAATGATGGAATTAACAATCAAAACTTAATTTAATGGTAAATCTTTCGTTTAGAAASACCACGCCGTAGGTTGGCACAATTCTGCCTCGGCACGGACTACTCGAGACTGCTGTACCTCGCCACGTTGGCCGGGGTCAGGCGCCTCCGCCGGTAAAACAGGACGTACGCCGACTCCGAAACCACATTTTTCGGTGCTATCGGTTCTACGACCTCGTCGTCGAACTGGAGCCAGAGGGGTTCCACCGATTCTCTCTGGAACTTGGCTGTCGCCAGGGCAGAGACCTTGTTTTCGTTCACCTCCACCTTGGAGCGGCCAAAGGGCTTCCAGCCCGACGGAGTGCCCGCCTCGTCTTCGGTCGCTATCGGCATGCTTGCGCCAACTCCGTTGAAATCGAAGGCGACTTCTTCCCTTCCGTCTTTGCTGCATGGCGTTGCCTTGCAGGTTGCGACGTAATGCCCACCCGTCATCCCGCCGTAATGATTCAGCACACCAATCAGGTCGTATACGTAAGAATCATCGGTCACGGTCGTCTCTAGCACCGGAGACTCTTGGTGACACCATTTTCTCATATCCAGACCGGTGAGAGGAAAGTTGACTTTTGTAGTAATTTTTTCTCTCCATTTTTGGGAAGAACGAAATCTTTTCATGTGAATCGTCAGAATATCGGGAAGCTGCCAAAGCACTAGATTCTGTTTGGCACCGGGTCGRAAATCTTTGCACCGTGGGCACCTCCAGTGCGTATCTCCCTCGTCGTTCTCGAGTTTCTGGGTTTTGCAAAATTCGGTGAGGCATTTGCCCAAGGGCATTCCCGCACTCCCACGAGCCGACAGAGATTTCTTGGCCTTTTGGTTGGCCTTCGTAAGGATTTCGGCACTGGCTTCGTCCATAAATTCCTTCGGTGGAACATACATGACCGGGGCGTTAAGGTAGTTAGAATATTTCGTGTTGCTTGGCAATGAATTTATGGCTTTCTTGTCGGATGGTGGCTCTCTCCATTGTAAAACTACTGCATGGCGGGCACTGAGATAATTTCCAATAGTTCTCATCAAAGAGAAAGGGTATGCGCACTCTTCGCTTGCATTTCCGGCAAGCGGAGACTCAGCAGTACAAACACGAACCTCGAAAGGAAGGCGGTGGAGTTTCTCATTGACGCGCCTCACWAGTGTTGACGAAATAGTAGAGGCATCAAAGCCAGGATTTCGAAATCGTCTCGCCATTGGTGTATCGTCGGTCAAACCAAGAGCTCCCATGAGGTACTCTTTGTCCGCTTCCACCAGAAGGTCGATAAGTTCAGAAATGATGGATTGAGTACGGTCGTACAAGCGGTCAATCTTCATCTCACGCTCCTGTGCGCCGTCAACATCGACGGGACCTGTTTGAATAGAGCCTTGTCTGAGAAATCGAGAAGCCTGTGCAAGAATCTGTGCTCCCGCCCTAGCCGTACTCCACTCACTCCTACATTGCACATAAAACGATTGACCGAACAGATTCGGTATTCTAGTTGATCGGTCCATGTAGCGGTGATAAACAATAAACTCCGTCGGTTTCGCTCTTGGAGTAGCGTGAGAATATAGAGGCTGGACCTGTCCATTGTTAAAATGTTCGATGGAATAAATTTCATCCCATTTTGAAGAAAAATTGTCGAAATGAATCTTGACCTTAGTCTCATCCTGTCCAACCTCACCATTGGCAGGGTCATTCTCAAGAATTTCAACTACACTTCCAGGATACCAATGCTTTTTGTGATCAATTGCATCCACGCGTAGACCAAGTTTTAGTTCTTGGTGTCTGGTTGGCCATAAACTTCGAGAAACGGCCTGCGCAATTGGAAGCGTCTCGGTATCATACAATCGGCATTCTTCTTCGTTCCCATACTGCATGATCATTTTCTCAAGTTCCTTTTCTTCTTTTTCTTTACGACCCTTAGAAAAGTTGTCGATATCATCTTCTTCATCGTCGTAGTCGTCGTAGTTGGTTTCGGATCCWTCGTCAACTCTTCCATCGAGAGGCCTTGACTGAAGTGTAGACTCAAAAGCAACAAGCAATGCCGGAGACGTTGCGCTTGTATTCGATTCATCGTTAGTATTGCGTTGTCGAGCAAACTGGCTGCATGGCCCTTTCTTATTKATTATYGTGAGCTCCGTTATCCGTCTCACAACACTGCCGTCATCTTTTTCTTTTGTCGCAAGCTTCTCTTCGGCACTGCAGATAATAAGATTTGTTGCTGAAATTCCACACATGCTCTGAATCTTTWGTCTCAGGTCACTACTATCAGCTAATCGTGACATGGCAATAATATATTGTTCCACAATAAGATTGTCCGAAGGAGATGTCGAATTCATTGATTTGTTTGGACTGAATCTTATCTTTGCTTTTCCAAGTCTGTGTTTCGGCCGATTAAGTATCCAAGGTGTGTTGAAAGAATTCGCTCGTCGRATCACTTTGCACTTAAAAATAACATCGGTAACTGTTGGTATTGGCAATGATAACAAGTTGAATGGATCAAATTTTTGGCTTGCAAAGTTGCAAACAGGACATGTGGTTGTACTGATTGTTTGTCCTGTGTGGACATCAGTWATGATAGACCGGCTCCGCCGTCGTTCTCGCCTCCAGGCTTCTTCTCCGACTCTTGAAAGACTCGTTACTTTCACCCAATCATCCTCTAGGCCTTCCACGTATGGTTTCTTGATAACACGATTACTGTCTTCCATGAGAGCATCAAGAACGTAACTGAGCAATTCTTGAGCGTCTTGCTGATCTGCTCCAGCGAAGTCAGGTCGGAGCTTTGCAATTAGTTTCCTTAGTTGGAATGGTGATTTTTCTCCAGCTTTTGCACTCCACATGAAACGTAGCAACTCAACAAATTCTTCCAGAAGTACACCCTTGGTACCTAAGGGGTTATCTTTATTCAAATCATCTCTGAAGTCTCCACTAAGCAGATATGATCTGACCAAAGGAAAATATCCTATACACTGCAAAGCTGAGTTTATGTAGCAAGTATTCCCTAAATTGACCAAACCACAAGCACCATAACCTGGTATAGTGCACACTTTTGAAATATCATTGGCATCTTGAGGAGCTTTTTTGACCTGTGCCTGGATCTTTCCTTTTGACTCAGTAACCGCACCTGACGTCCCCTGTGTTTGCTTTGATGGACTTGTAGGAGAAACGCCTCCCTCGCCCATAGTGAATCTTCCTGCAGCTGCCAGTCTGCCAGATTCTCCAGGAATACGAATCCATTCTGCACGGCCTCCGTGTTTTGTAAAATCAACACGCACTTCCTTATACCCTTGAGCTGGATAGTCATCAATCGAGTCATCGTCATTTTCTTCATCTGTTTCAGGATCTATTACCTTTACATGTGTGATGCGAACCTCGTACCACCGTCCTGTTCTTTCTTCTCTGGCATCAACGTATAAACCTACTAGATCRGGGGGGGTTGACATCGGAGATCCATTGTCATTGAGTCCAAGAAGCATTCGACGAAATTTCTTGTGCTTATCTGCCAGTCGGCGATCCCGCCCTACCTTGGCAGCGGCTTCTCGTGGCCAGATAAATTTATTATTTCGATTCATTATCGCAAATTCAACCAATACCTGACTTTCGTCGCTGAGACCGCTACCTTCTACTGTAGCATTGTCTGAGTATTCTTCCCAATTAGACCTAAGTTCATCGAAGTTTTCGTTCAATTCTTTTTCGTCATTTTTTCGAGGTAAGGCGGCAAAACGATTCTTGCACAACAAACTACAGGGCCATGGTCCATACGGATCTTTTGGTTCGGAAGCTTCTACGCGTTTCCACCATCGCACTTTCCCACGTCCATCGGGACCGTATGCTCTATAAATATGAAAGGGCAGCCGCATGATAACTTCTGAATAAAGGCGCCAGAGTGGTTGGTCGGGCGAGGCCATCACTCTGATAGTCATGGGACCGGCATCATTAAAATCTTGCTTCCGATATGGTTGTAATGGATCACAGAGCTGAAACTGTAAAACCCATGGGTGCGTAATTACTTCCATCAGCCGGGGTATCCTCAAAACTCGATCTTTATTGTCTATTGGAGCTGTTGCCATCGCATCCAAATCCGACTCAGTTGGGATGGAAAGAATATCCAAGTCTCCATGCATGACACCACCTTCGCTAGAAGTAGGACTGCATAGTTCGACGCTTTTCTCGTTTGCGCCCTCTMTCTTGATATTTTCGTTCTTGGGTTCWGGTGAGCTAACCATGCGAGGTAGAGGGGGTCCACCAGCATAAATCTCAAAAAGGACATCCCAAACAGCAGGAGGTACTAGAACATAGTCTACATCTTTTTCTAGCCCATTTTTCATCAGCTCGTATGATCCCAGTGTACCTGCTACTACTACATCATTGTGTCGATCCAATAGTGATTCTGTGCTCAATTCTCCTGGTCGTTTCCTTGGAACAACACAAGTTCGCGAACTTGGTGATTTGCTGTCTCCGGCCCATGACCACCCAACATATGCTTCCCAATCTTGCCACCATTTCTTATCAATGCAGTACATGACCCCAAATCCCAATCCACCTTTGCCATCAAACCCACCTAGACCACCGAAAACTACCTGGCTACTACAACTTTGATTTYGATCACATTCGGGAACTAAAGATGCGTTCTTGTTCTCGTCGGAGCTATTATCGGTTCCCATCGAAAGAACAAGGCGCACATTTTGCGACAAGAGTTCCATGGCGACATCGGCAGACTGATATACGTGTTTCGACCAAGCCGAAAGAGAAGACGACGATTCTTGCCATAACCTCCACCTAGATCTCACCATGTCGAGCTCCATCGATGGAGTGGGAATCCAACCGTGCGCGACGAGGCGATGCATGATGGCCGATATACACCCATCATCCAAGGCCTTCCGACAAAAGCGATCAAAGTCTAAAATCGTCATCATACTACCTGCCGGATGGTCCCTGAGCCAAATGGCTGCTTGTTCAGCGAAATTCATCCGACTTTCTTCGGCACAGTAGTCGTTCAAAAAATCAATGTTATCAGACATTGTTGCACTGGTAAACTTATCAGAGCAGCATTGTTGCCGCTGACGTTTAAGTCTGTTCGAGACATCTGTCTGGTGAGTCTCCGAATCATCGATAGTAAAAGAGCCGTTCCCGTTGATTTTTGAATTSTCTTTGTTGCTAATGTCTCTTTTGCTATTGCCTGAACCACGGAGTTTGAATCCGACAAGACCTCCTTTGCGGTTTGAGGACACTGGTGATCGGCTGGTACTATTTTGCTCATTTTCGTTMGAACTTGATTCCTGACTCGTTCCAAATGCTAAAATTGATGGATTATCGATCATCATGAAGCTTTCGGGTATGAGAATAGCCATTAGGAAGTGGATAACTTCATATCCAGAAAGTTTCAAAGCCAAATTATGCTGCGYACGATTCCATTGTTCAGCACCAGTTTTGCGAGCACCACTCTTTGAATTTGAAGATGGCGAAAAGGGGCAATTAGAAGACCCTCCTCCGTACCAATAATAATGAGACAGGGAWGCCAAACTAATAACGATATCTTGATCAACCTCTAGTAACCAAGTCGGAACTCCTCCAGCAGGATGATTTTCAAGAAATGTTCGCAACGAATCCGGTTCCAATAACATGTAAAAAAGGAGATTCAGCTGTTGTTGTCGAGATCCACCTGGATAGAAACCAAGTCGAAAGACAGATACAAGAAGATGGGCAAGTTAGCATTTGAGTGGGTACACCGACCTCCCTCTTCTTGGCGATGTTGTTCACAAGCACTCGAGAAGTCGGATGACATATGCAATGCTTCATTTATGACTTACGCAATGCCAGTCCAAGAATAAATGTCAGAGAATGCATTCCCATCCCAAGAGGCGCCATTGGTGGCTCTTCGCATTTTGGTTCTGATGGTTGTGGTAGTGAATTTTTGTTGTAACTTCTTTCGCTACCGTTTTGAATATTTTTATTCACATCCATCTCTAGATTGTTCGCCTTTGCAGAATCGACTGCAATTTCGGCCACGTCGTCCCACAGTACATCGTTGCAATACAAAGCCAGCAAATAAATAGTTTCTACTATATCAATGCCAGATATAGTGTCATTGACTTCAAAGGTAGAAGCAGGGCCACCACCAATATCCCCTATAAGAATATTGTTCCCGCTACTGCTTAGTTCCACAGTTGTGTTTTGCAGGTCGGACTGACTGCCCATGGCTTGAATAAAGTTTGCAGCCAAAAATTGTATGTTGCATTTGACAATCGGAACGGGAGGATGTGGCAAGACCTTTCTCAATACGTGGCTGCTDAGCAAATGGTGTTCCTTTGCAAGGATTGTGGTTTCTTGTAGCTCCTGCATGAGCGAGGGTGTATTATTGCTACTGCTAGCATCGCGATTCCTTTTGCTTTTCACCGCCCCGCGATTCTTGCCACCGTTACTGATCGATTGTTGCTCTGTGTAAAGTTGAGATCGCCGCACCGTGCTTCGTACCCTTCGTTGTAAAAACAAGAGTTCCGTGTCGGAAAAGCGATTCGTGACGTTTGCCATCAGATCTTGCATGGTAGCGTGAACGTCGGCGGGATCCAACAAATTGTCTTTGTGCGCAAACCAGAGTTCCCTCCATTTAGGATCGTCGACACCGACCTGTGTCTGAACAACTTTTTCGGGGCCGGGAAAATTTATCTTGTGTAAAGATGCAGATTGTCTATCAATGTTTGCATACGAGGGTCGAATGCCATTTGAATACAGTTCCATGGGACTTTTGTCGAAAAGAGCTGCAGTGTTGGCGTCGTTAACACGCCCTCGTTCRTCCTCATACCTGGCATTCGATGTCACTGGGTTCGTTGGAAGCAATGGTTGTTTTGCTTCCTGCATTACATTCTGAGCATTCGAGGCTTTCGCAGGGCTTGAATTTTGATTGTTTGTCACCCCGCTGGATTTTTTGTCCATGGAATTCATGCCTGCGTGGGCTGCATTGGAAGCTCCGCATCCCATCTTTTTCTTACTCGTAGAACGAGTAGTTTATTGGTTTATGTAYAATTKTAGTCAGCTGCCGAAATAAGTTGGAAGACTTCAATCAAATCGAATATAGCTTGGCAAATGACAACTCCAACCCCGAGGAACAAAAATGACTCGTTTCGGCTTGGTGCAGGTGGCAGATTCGGTCCTCCCTGCCCTTGTCAGCCAGTTTTTTTTGTCTCGTTCCCTTTATGGTTACGCTATGCCAACTAGCAACCCCGAAGCACGAAACCCAACAAGTGTTTCGAATCGGTCACCGGCTATTCTCCGAGAGGATGGTGGGATTCAACCGATGCGATGTAAGGAAAAGAGGAGCTAATTGAAAGTGACGAAGTAACAAAAGCGTTCGGTGATCTTCCCGTTACTTCCTGATCCCTTYTTGTCAGTTTTACCGTCAATACGTAGTGTTGGACTAGAGCCAGAAGTCACAAAGATTGCGATGATTTGTATGATGGCTATCGTATGATACGTACAGTGTGTAGCAAGTACGAGTACGAGTACTACTGGTATTACATATAACAGTACCWGTACTTATTTTTTGCTCCGGAGGCCGGAATACGGGTACGAGTGACATTTACTGGCATTTTATTTTGTGCTTCCGAGATTGCACGATTCGGTATGAACGAACCATAGCACCAGTACAAGAAAAATATTGCTACGAGGAGTTCGTACCCACTACCTTACGTACTTCGTACATACGTAATCCACGTAGAATGTGGCAGTCATCGAACAGTACGGTACGTTACTACGGTATTTCTCTACTGAATCGAATCGCAACGTACTCGTACCGGTACGAAGTACGTACATTCAGCTTCATTTTTTTCATCCCCCGTTCCGCACACTTCATTCGAAACSCTACTGTAAGCCCATTCGAATTCTTCYRATGTTTTCATGCAGAGACAAGTCAACTTACTTCACGATAGAAGATTCTCCAACCGCCGCCGCTAAATAAACTTCTTTCGTGTGCATGATCGTCTCATTTTTTTCCAAAATTCACATGAGATCCAAGGAAAACAGTGCACCAAGTAACGTTGAAACGACGATTGCTYCTGTTTTCACGGTWGAACGCCCGTCCCAATCTGACGGAGTTGAAWTTTTTTATTTTTAGAGGGAATTGGAACGTGGGCTCCCCGTCCCACGATTTTCCTCTAGAAGGTACGATACCGTACGTACGAGCGTACGTACGATATGCAACGAGRTTAAAAATCGACGACCAACTAGTACTCGAAAATACTAGGTTTGGTTGCAAGCCCATCGTCTTACTGTCCTTTTGGTCTTCCCTGTCGATGRCTTGGAAGGCCGAGAGGCCAAGCTGCTCACAAGTAGCTGGCCTAAATGTTGGTCTCCAAGTGGGGGAGGCAATACTCTCAGGTTATGTGGGCTTGTTTTCTAGTCTGCTGAACTCTCGTTTGCCCTGACCAAAGCCACTAGTAGTATAGTATACCCTCTTGGAGGCATCCATGACATAAGGTTAAAAGTCAAAACGCCTGTGGCTTAGAATTCTCAATAATTTATCCTGGTGTATTCATTTTGTCCTCCCTTCCATGGGCACACAACCCWCCTCGTGATGACGACGAGTTTTCTTCTTCTTTTTGCTTAGTACTTTCTCCTTGTTGTTCTTGTTCTGACTACTGGTGGTGCTACTACTACTGCCTTTCCCTTTCCCCTCTTGCTGTGTCCTTCCTTGTTTTGGGGTCTGGCTTAGTGATTCTGTGGTGCMTAGAGCGTATCCTACTGACAAACTTGTGCTTGCACGCTTTTACTACTGCAAGTAGTAGACGTAGTATGAGTTTTCATAGTATAGCTCGCGTGCTGGTGWTTAAAAAAACAAACAAATAAGTAATGATGATAGTAGTCTCAGTAACCACCATGAAACAGCCATTCTTGAAAAAACATAAGGATCATAATTACTGCAGGATCTAGGCACTCTATTGTAGCGTAAACCTAGCAGCAGTAGCAGCAGCAGTATCTCTTGATCTTCGTACAGGTTTTACTATTGTTATTAATGCAAATTTCTACTAGTATTYCCACTGTACTATTACAACTACTATCATTTCACCATGCACCGAGTAGTACCTTTGGAGTACAGCAATTTTTGGTGCAACTGCTAAGCAGCACCTGTGACTATTACTAGTGATTTAGAGAAAATTGTCTCGGGGAACCACTCACCGTTGAGGAGCACCACTTTCAAAATATTTGTCGAGACGTGCGATGGGAGTGTATGGCTAATGCTTATGGTGATAATTGCTATTGATATTGCTATTGTTGTTGCTGTATTTCCTGGACCTTGGCCCATACGGCGTTCAGAAAGCCATCGGCCTCGTCGTCCAGCACCACCTGCAGTTCCTGGAGAAGCTCCGAGGTGGCCTTCCCCTTGAGAATGTGCGTGTACAAAAAGTCGATGAGTGTGGCCTCTTCCTCCCCCATCGATTCCTTGACCTTGTTGGCCAGGAACTGGCGCARCAGCGCGTGRGTCGACGGCGGCAGGTTCGAGGGGAAGTGAGAGGGRTGTCCCTCCGTCCTGGCCCTCTTGGACGCGGCCGGCCCGTCTCCGGCCGGCGGCGGTTGTGTCTGTTGCTGCTGCTGTGTCATCCACGCCGGGAGATTCGATCGCCCGCGCTTTCCCGAATCGGCCACCGCGGCCCGGGGCGGCGGGGGGAGTCCCAGCGCCGGGGGAGGCGGGGGAGGGCCCGTGCCCCCCCGCGGCTGGGGAAGCGGGGGCTGAGGAAGGGACGTCGGCAGCGGCGGCGCCCGCAGCGGGAGGACGGCCCCCTTGCGCTCCGCATCGACCCGCGCCCGGAYCCGCGGCCGCAGCTCGGCGAGCTTCCTGGCCACCGCGTCGGACCGCTGCGACTTTTGCGAGCCGTGGGTCTCGCCGAGCTTTCTGCGGAATTCCTTTACGGCCTCCAGGACCTGCGGGGCGTTCAGCGGGTCCTCGTCGGCGTCGTAGGCTCCCGCTCCCCCCGCGGCGGCCGCGGCCTTGTCCGCGTCCAGCAGCTTGGGCTCGTCCCCGTCRTTCCCGCTGCTGCCGGCGTTGCCGGTGGCCRACGCCCCCGGGGCATCGGTGCCGGCTTTCCCGCCGCTCTCCGCTCCCTTGCGCTGCTGGGGTTCGCTGCCCGGCTTGGATTCGACCTCGGCGTGCGAGGTTTCCAGGCTCACGAAATTCTGCCAGAGTTTTTCGCCCAGGATCTTCTGCGACGCTTCGTCGAGCAGCGGCGGGGGGAGCGGAACGTCCGGGGAGGAAGGAACCATGTAGCACCGAATGTCCTTGTAGCGGTCGTCCAGCTTGTCGGAGAACAGCCGGAAGGAGGCCACGACCTTGGTGGCGTGGTCGGGATTGATCATGTTCACGAGGACCGTCTGTTTTTTCGACAGCGGTGGAGCATTGTTTTCGCCTTCCTCCTTGTCCTTCTTTGCGCTTTTGTTGTGTTCCTCCTTGTCGTTCTTGCGTTTCGGAGGCCGCGGATAAAAGATGCACGTCTTGGCCGTCCCGCAYGGATACAGCCAGTCCCGGACCTGCTGGTATCCAACGAAAAAGGAGGGAAGGTTTGTRATCAGGAGGGTGTTCGTAAACGGCGAGCGCCCCCTTCCGCGGGAGGGTGGCGGATGGGACATTCCCATGCCGCCGGGAGGGGGGAGTCCGCCCACCGGGATCGGCGGGGGTCCGCCGGGAAGGGGAAGAGCGGGAGGAGGGCCTCCCATGGGAAGGGGCGGGGGTGCCGACGACATGCTGGTTGTGGTTGCGGCCTGTGTTTCTGGTTCTGGTTCTGGTTCTGGTTCTGTTGGTGTGCTTCTTGTTGTTCCTGGGTTTTGTTGTCGTTTGTTGCTTGTCCCTGTTGTCTGTTTTTGTGAAAAGTACACAACCTGGTGTTTTCAGTCTGGCCTCGCCCGTATTGGATGGGACTCGCGAGTGTACGGAAGTACAGTACTAGCGCTACGTACCGTAGTAGCATACGGTACCGGTAGTCCGATGAGGTCGGTGGGTTTCTGGATTAGGTTTTGATTCATTCGATTCGATTCACCTTAATTAATTCGGTTATCGGGCACGGATCCTTAGCCTTCGGCTTTTTGTGATGATATGTGATGTGTACGATACAATTACTACGGATATCATAACAAATGATCGCGCGACTAATCGCGCGCATGGGAACGTTAATTTAACGTTCCCATTGTTAAGTTAGTGATGCGATCTCTAAATTATTGATGCCATCATTACGTAGGTAGGCCTACGTAGGAAGTGTACTAGCCCCGCAGCTCGTCACGCTGGCTGGCCAACAGCTGCTCAGCGAGGACCAGGATCAGTCTATTTGGATGGATCCTGGTACAAAGCTGTGTAGAAAATCCCGTAGAAAATCGTGGATCAAGGTACTTGCCTTGCGATTTTGGTCAAAATAGAAGGGTTTTGATTCCGCGTTGAAAAATGTACCGTGTCCTACTGTTGTGACCTTTACCTACCTCCAGCGTGCTGATCCAGCGTGCTCATTCTAGTGAACTAAACTGTTCTTTCATTCTAAAGAAAAACTCGGTTCAAGCAACCGACCATGGGAATTAGTGTATTTGCAGCACTTTCACTCAACCTTTTACACTGTACTTGGTATCAATCGATAGCTCTCTTCAATTGTCGATTTAACAAGCCCTTAACTGTCGCAAACAAGCAAGTGTAACAGATTTTATTGAGTGTTCAGTGTAGCTTCTTTTTTTTACGACGCCTTGCTTCTTTTTCAACTGACGTCGGCAGCAACATGAGCAGGAAGGATCCAGCCAATGAGGTTGCAAAGATCAGAGCCGACCATGGCTTAACTAGATTAACACAACAAGAGAGAGCTGAGAGGCCTCATCCTAACAAGGGGGGATCTGAAGGATATGATGGGCATGTTAGACTAGCAGAACTGGCAAGGAAGGAGGATGGTCTTCCTCCTGCTTTTGCTAGTGAATCATCAATCAGAAGGTGGAGGAATAGACTGCACAGATACAGAAAGACAGGCAACAAAGAATGCAAAACCTTGGTTGGTTGGGAGCTCTATGATCTTGAGTTCTATCTATGGATGTATCCAGATGCAAGCCTTGACAACCTTGCAGCCTATGTTTACAACAGGGGAGGGGGGGTCTATACTCGCTCTCAGATTCAAAAGAGACTTGCTGCAATTGGGAAGACAAGAAAGATTGGAGCTACCGAGGCCTACAAAGCCTTTACTCCTGAGAACTTGTTCAGGGCCCAGATCTTTTGGAATGAGCCTCCTCCAGTTGGAATAGTTGGTATTCCAAGAAGGAAGTTCATTGACGTGGATGAGTTTGGTATGGAGATCCAAAGAACCAACTGCAAGCGAGGATACTCACTGTCTTGCTTCCGGGTTAGGAAGCCTGGACACTATGTAAGAGGGCAGAAGCTCACTATCTTGCTTGCTGTGGAGCCAGGGGATCCGCGTTTGCCTCCAGCCACTAGAGGAAGTGTGGCGAATCCTAGAAGATGGATCAATGTGATTCAGCAAGCAGGGACCACAGCTCATGTCTTTGCGGATTTCATTGATACCATTTGCAAGGATATTGAGGCCCATCCGGCCCCTGGTGACACTGACGTGGAGAGATACTTCCTCTGGGACAATCTTGGCTCTCATCTAACCACTACAGTTGGTCTGGTGTTTAGATACAGACCAGCGCCAAGGCCAACCCTCTTTCATGCTATCCCGCGTCCTCCATACCAACCCAAGTGGGGACCCATTGAGTATAAGATCCTTGACGTGATCAGTGCTGTTTCTAAGAGCGCATTGAGGGAATGGAACCTAAATGATCTTGAGCAAGCAATCTATAGGGAGGCTGGAAGATCTATCAGAGGTGTTGACAATACCTTTGCTCATTGTGGATACACTGTGGATGGTGTCTATCAGCCTCGCGATGATGATGATTAGCAGTAACAGCAACAACAGCACCTCGATGGCCTCCAGCAAGCAAACTGGAATCGCTGAGTCGTTGCAATGGGCTGGAGGAACCCACTGGAGACTGGCGTGCTGGCGAGTCGACTCCTTCTGGGCCTATCAAATTGAATCCTACTGGAGAAGCTTGGATTCCAGTCCCCTACTGCAGCAGCTTCCCTTGCAGCTCCTCCAGCGAACACTCAATGGATTCGGATGATGGATCGACTAGATGGATTGAATTACAGTCGGTTGAATCGATACGCAAGATCCGTCCTTGCACAGCTCCTTCCTTGGATACTCAATCAATTCGCGGATCGACTACATGGACTGCATACAGTTACAGTCGGTTGAATCGATTGAGATCCAACGCGTGGTCCTTCATCTATCTATCTATCAGTACTATTTGTATACAGTTTATCTTTAGTAAGAATCATATCTACCAAGAGTAGTTGCAATAGACTTGAGCAATACCACAAGGACCAGCAAGCCGCGCGTTTGAGCTCTCCTGGGACTATAGTTTTAGAATGAACTGTAGCGCGTCTGGAATCAGGATGATTCATATCTACTAACTTTGCTAGAGGAACTGCTGTCACTCAGGAGTGTTTCATCAACAGTAAGCTTTGCTACTGGAAGCTTTGCAACTCTTCTTGCTGTGTGTTTTGCTGGAGCAGCAGCAGGGAGACGCTTCCGCGCTGCTGCTACAGGGAGACGCTTCCGCGCTGCTGCTGCTGCTGCTGCTGCTACAGGGGGACGCTTCCGCGCTGCTGCTGCTGCTACAGGGGGGGGGACGCTTCCTGGCTGGCCTCAGACCACACTCCTTCTTCTTCATCCACACCAAGTTATCCACAACCACTTCAGTGTCTCCATAGATATTCCCCATATCTTCAACAGTATTCTTTGTCCCACGAG